ACATGAAATCTCATGCTCCCACACCTCGCAGCAAAACGGTATTGCTGAGAAAAAAACAACACATGTTCTTGAAACTGCCTAAGCTCTTTTAATTGGCACCAATGATCCTAATGGGAGTTGGGCGGATGCAGTTACTAATGCTGGGTCTCTAGACACTATTACAAGCCCTCTTGGCACATACTCTTGTGCCAATAGTATTGATGTTTCCACCTCGTGTGTTTAGATGCATAGCTTATGTCTGTCCATAAAAACAAATGGACTAAGCTTGAATCTTGTGCCCATAAATTCTTAGTTTTGGGTTTTGTATTTCATTAAAAAGGCTATAGATGATATAACCCCCCCTTCTAAACACACCTATATTACTATGGATATCACCTTTATGGAAATCAAAACCTTTTTTCCACCTAATTCTCATCATCAGGGAAAGACTGGACAGGAAGAGCTGAACTGGATTGAATTAGGTTGGTCGGGCTTATTTGAAAAACATGTAGAACCGATACAGTCGACACATGTCTCTTCGGCTTCTGAATAACATGAAACTGCAATTTCTTTCCCCTTTGTAGCATCTAAAGACCCAGCTCCTGAGAATGATCTTGAGGTAAGCTCCATTAACGCAAATACCATGGAATCTCCTTGTGGTTATATATTACCTTACAGGCACGATTGTAGCAAGCCTCCAAACTGCTACTCATCAGACATTAACGAAAAAAAACAAAGATATCCCATCGTCAATTATGTGTCCATAAAGGGATTGATCGTCCCTCTTAACACCTTTGTGCATAGCATTTTTGTTATATCCCAGCAAGGGTGGAGGAAGCCTTGGAAGACCCAAAGTGAGCTCAAGCAATCAAAGATGAAATAGAAGCATTAATGAAGAACAAGATATGGAACCTAGTGCCATTACCGGCAGGAAAGAAAACTGTAGGGTGCAAGTAGGTGTTTTCCATTAAACACAAAGCTGACTGATCTATAGAAAGATACAAGCAAGAATCATGGCAAAGGATATACTCAAACATATGGTATAGACTATCAAGAAACATTCTCACCAGTAGCTAAACTAAATACCGTTAGAGTGTTATTATCTCTTGTAACAATCTAGATTGGGCACTAAATCAGTTTGATGTGAAAAATACATTTCTTCATGGAGATTTGAAGAAGAGATTTATCTGGACATTCCACCAGGTTACTCAGTGATCGTGGAAACTAATATGGTGTGCAAGTTTCAGTGAACCTTGTATGGATTCTAGCCATCATCTCATGCATAGTTTGGGTGATTTACTTAGCAATGAAGAAGTATGGTTTCCAACAAAACAACACAAATTATACCTTAATTCTTTTTAAAAAAATAGATAGGCATGATAACTGCTTTAATTGTCTTGTTGATGGCAATTTGAACTGTCAAAATCGAATGGAGCGAAAAAATCGAATCGATGGTGCAATGGGGCGGATATGATATTTGATTTTAGTGACCCGATTCGGGCCAAGGTGGGTATGGTATTTGTCCTGTCACCCCGCCCCGACCGATTGCCCATTAAAAAAAAAAGGAAAAAAATTGGACAATCGGGCTTTCCATTATTCTTTCTATTATAATTTGTCTAGCCAAAAATTTATGGCCCATTACAGACCCATTAAGTAACCTAACCCAATTACCACTTACCTACTAAGTATTAACCCTACCACTAAGAAAATTGGAATCAAATTCAACAAAACATTAGCCAACAGCTATCTTCACTCGAGTCTCTACAGTGTCTCCCAAAATTTTTTTCTTCTCCACATCATATTCTTTCTTGCTCGCCATCGTCAAATAGGAGGGTATTTTTCTTCCTCTTCCCATTTACTAATTGCTATTGCTGTAATCTGTATCTATTTTAGTTTTTGTTGAGTTTGAGTATTAGATGAAATGTGATTTTTTTCTTCTCTACATAAAAGATAAATTTAATGAATTAGTCTGCCAAGAGATATTAAGTTTTGTTGCTAGAGGAACTTGATGATATGCACTTTGAATTTGAGAATAATCAATGAAAATGCAAGGATACGAGCAAGTTATTAAGCTGTTGAATTTGCATTGCACTAGATTGCACGAAAAATCTCTAGAGGTTTTACAAAGAATTTTTAGAATTATTGAATTTAAACAAAGATATGGGAATTCCGCTCAAATGTCATTAGTGGATATCACTCAGAGAGGAACAAGTAATGCAAGATCTTTGACTTCCAAAATTATTTCTCGGTTGAATGTACCTCATGAACAGTCTTCATTTTTTTAAATTGTGATTAGGGCTGTCAAATGATTAGATTTTGATCTGAATCCAATGAAATTAATGGGAGATGAATTTAGGGTTTCAATCCGATAACCCGATCGAAATCCAAATTCTTATTATCTGTTAACTAAATGAATCAAATATGGATTTAGGTCGATCCGATCCGATTTATTATAATAATATATTATATTTTTTATATTATTGCATAATTTAGACACGGTTTTTTTCCATTTTGAAAATGTATTATACTTTACAAGTAATTTTTAAATAATAGATAATATTATATAATAGTATAATATTTTTAATTGGAAATTTTGAAGAGATGTAATTTTTTATTAATTAAAATAAGATAAAAATAATATGTAATTTATTGATTAGATTTACTATAGTAATTTGTTTCATAACATAAAAAACTAACAATTAATATGTCCAAAATAATTTATTTTGTTCAAATTAATATTGTTTGTAATTAAAATCTTATTAAGGCTATAATTTTTAATGAAAATAATAAAGTAAACTAGTAAGCACTTAGAATTGACAAATAATTATGATTAGTATCCCATATTGAAATATCACTAAATCACTAAAAAAAGAGAATCCTTTAAAAGGCTAGTATCCCGCATTGGAATATTACTAAAGTATTTCAAGAGGAGTCTCCTTTAAAAAGGAGTTAAAGGAGCATCAGTTGAATAAAAAAAAAAGTGGAAATTACAGTTTCTAATAGATTAAAAATCCTCATTTCATAAATAAGATGCAATGTTTAGTATTTCACAAATCAGAAATTTTTTTAATTAATTTTTATAGTTAAAATTAATTAAACAATTTCAAACCCTAATTATATAAATCTCAATTCCACCTCTCTTTCTCAATTCCCTCGACTCTCTCTCTTTCACTACCATTAATTTCTCCCCAATCCCGTCGGAAGACAAGAAAGTGCCACCGGAAGACTCCCCGAGAGACACCGCGAAGCCCCCTTGACGGTCTGTGGTACGATGGTGCGTGGTACGTCGATCTGTGGTATGGTGGTGCGTCGATCTGTGGTGCTTGGTCTGTAGTGGTGGCGATGGTGCGATGTGGTGGTGGTGGTGGGGTTGTGATTCTCTGGTGGTCGACGGAGGAGGTTTGGTGTAATTTTCGGTGGTCGATCGTCATAGTGGTGTACTATGCAGTGCAGGTGGTGATTTTGTACTTACTGTGGCGTGTTGTACTATGCGTTGAATCTGGTGGTGGTGGCGATGGCGGCGGCTCTGTTGTGGTGTTGGTGGCTCTATTCGGTGGCGAAGGCTCTACTCTATCTCCTCCATTCTCTATTTGTCAACGGTGATAGAGCGTCACTCTACGGTCGCAATAAATTTATGATTCAATTTTGATACAATGTCACCATATTGTGACCAATAGACATTGATTCGTTGGTTGTGTGCAGTTGTAGTTGTGGCTACAGTGGTGTTGGTATTTGCAGTGCTCTAAGGTGGCGATGATGTTGGTGGTGTTGGTTGTTTTTTGGTAGAGGTGAAGGAAATGATTGATTTAAGGTGGTTGTTCTGGTGATCGTTGAAATAGGTAGTGGTGGTGGTGGTGGTGACGATATGATAATTATTTAGATATTTTGACCAATATGATCGAAAATAATTTGTTATAACCAATAAATTGGCTAGTTTGTGACCAACGTGGTGGTGGTTTTGGCCGTGACAGTGGTGGTGTTGTTGGAGACAGTGTTGAAGTGGTGGTCGTAAGTGTTGGTTATGATTACAAATTATTTGGTTGATTGGGATAGTAAATTGGTTAATCTGTGATCAATGAAAAAAATAAACTGTGATCAAGAAATAATGTGGGACCTAAAAAATTAATAATTTGTGACTGTCTAATAACTTGTGACCTATAATATTTGTGATCTGCGACCTTCAAATTTTTTTTTTCGTGACTGAAAAATAATATGTGACCTATCAAATTTTTTATTTGTGACATAAAAATAAGTTGTGACCAATAATTTGATAAGTTGTGACTAAAAATTACTTCGTGACTAATTAATTTTTTATTTGTGACCGATGAAAAAACTGTGACCTATAAAAAATTTTGAATTGTGATCGTAAAATAATTTGTGAATAAAATTTCTGATTTGTAACAAAAAAATAATAAGTGACTAATTAAATTGTTAATTTATAACCAAATTGTATAAATATGTGACCTAAATATAATTAATTAATTAAATTATAAATAAATTTTAATAAAAATCTGATTTTTAAAGTTTGAAACTTATTTTCTTAATTTTGAAATATATTATACTTAATCTCTTACTTATGAAATTTTCTCATAAACTTTCCCCTCCAAGCCCACTACAGTCCATATACACACGTGTGTACATATACACACATCACGTGTGTTATATATGCACATTTTCAAAAATGCGTTTTGTACAGCTGTACCATTGGGAGGGAAAAATAGTGTGTGTTTATGTACATTTTCAAAAATGCGTTTTGTACAGCTGTACCATTCTCGTCTTAGGCGGGAGAAGGAAAAGAGTTTTTCTTTAAAGAAAGATTAAGTAAGTAGCAGATTGTTAAACTTGTAACAATTTACAAAACCCCCCCCTACATTTTAAACCCCTCTTTTTTGTTTCTTGGTTTCTCCATTTCTGTTAACATCAATAAACCGCCTAGTAGTGTAGAAAATAGTGAACATCACACACGGTTCTTCAAAGTTTGGCGCTGGACTTTTTTTCAAGAAGAATAATAAGTAAGAAAAATGAGTTCGATTGATTCTGAAGCGGTGGATAAAAATACTGGGTATATGGTAGAGGACGACCGCATGATTCCTGGTAACGGTTTGTTTCGGTACCCATCTGATGATACGGGAGAGATAAATGCGGAGTGTTGGGCTGTTGCGGAGGTAGCTGCTCAACAAGTATTGAATAGTGTGCATCCTATTGGGAATTTACTTAAACATGCACAACGAAATTTAACAAATTTCAATTCCCATTCAGGATTCACCTTTGTATTTAGATAAAAACTGTGATAAAAAATATACATTTTCTTTAATTTGCAAACTCCTTAGCGTTATTTCTTTCCAACAACTTGAATCTACCTCCCATAGTTGTCCAATTGTCCAGCCTCCAATGAAATCCACACAGAGAATAGATTGCAACTGTTAGGGTTTTCTCTCTTGTGCCAACAAAAATAATGAAAGCCTGATGAATTTCAAACCCTAGTCATGTATTTATATAAACTCAAACGGGCTCGACCCGGTCCGGTCCATTGTTTAATTAATCCATTTAATTAAACCCGATCCGTGAATTAATCAATCAAATTAATTAATTCGGGAATATAAATAACAAATCCAATTAATTAATTTATCCAACGATTGTTAAATTAATCAACTGGAAATTTGGAACCTATCAATTCTCTTTTGCGTGCGACCCATTAGGTTCTCGACCACGATACCTAACGACGTGAAATATTATTTTGATCTAATCAAAATTGATAAATTAAACACTCTTTTAATTTATCACAGATTCACACTCGTCGTCCCAGATTGACATCTAGCAATGTATCAGGGCAACACATGTGACGAAAAATGTCACATAGTATGACAAAACTAAAACTGTTCGTTTACCATGAAATTATAATCACTTCGTCAATATGATCCAATCAACTACGAGATATGGAAGCGTGTCAATCTTGATTATCGATCATATCTTTCATTCTTCTATTAAGTCAATATGAGTCGAAAACTCCTTTTCGACTTATATGTACACCTTGGCCAAGGATTTCGTTATTGACTTAATTGAACGAAATGCAGATCACAATCTCTTACTATCTAAGAGTGACGAATCCTCTATTGATCATTCACAACCTTCATATGGTTCTTGACATACCCGAACAATGTCATATTTGCAGCCCTTGGCAGAACAACATCCAACACCGTCAAAATATGACTGTCCTCATAAAAGGTACTATGATGACCTCAAGTTGTAGGGCCAATTTCATTACCGAACGTTGGAGATTAACCACTGACACTCAGATAGTTATTCATGTGGAATCTCTTAGCGGGTTTCCAATGTTTTGTTCTATAACAAAACATCCACGTGTTCATTTAAGTGTCACCACACTTTAGCTCGTGAGATCAGCTACTTACTTCACAAGTAAGAAATGTCACACGTGATGGTCTAACTATATTAACGATATCCATATCTCGTTATTACTTACGACCACGGTTTATTCAAGATCCAATTATATGTAATTTGTATCTCACAATCACAACTCCTTGTGATTAATAAATCACTTAAACTTGGATCTCCGGACTCTATTATTTAATATTATTTATTGCGAAATTAATTCAAATAAATAATAGATCTCGCCAAAATTAAATGCATTAAACATATTAAAAGCGTTTAGAACCTAAATCGATTGGATCTAGGGTATAACACTTACAAACTCCCACTTGCACTAGATCCAATCACTCACGTATCTAATACCATAAGCATCCACATGACGATCATGTTTCTGTTGTGACAACAGCTTTGTCAGTGGATCTGCAATATTGTCATCTGTGGGAACTCGCTCTATCGTTACGTCATTTCTTTGTATAATCTCCCTGATGAGATGATATCGCCTTAGCACATGTTTGGATCGTTGATGAGACCTCGGTTCCTTCGCTTGCGCGATGGCTCCATTGTTATCACAATACAAAGGTATGGGATCAACAATGCTAGGAATGACTCCAAGTTCATTAATGAACTTCTTGATCCGGACAGCTTCCTTCGCTGCTTCAGAAGCAGCTATGTACTCGGCTTCTGTTGTTGAATAAGCGGTTGTCTCCTGTTTGGAACTTTTCCAACTAACTGCTCCATTGTTGAGAGTAAACATATATCCTGACTGAGACTTGTTATCATCTTTGTAGTTTGAAAGCTAGCATCAGTATACCTATGAATTTTCAGTTCATTTCCTCCATAGATCAAGACCACATCTTTAGTCCTTCTCAAGTACTTAAGAATGTTCTTAACCGCTATTCAATGTTTCTCACCAGGGTTTGCTTAAAACCTGCTCGTAACACTTAGAGCATATGAAACATCTGGTCTTGTACATAGCATCGCATACATGATAGATCCTATCGCCGAAGCATAAGGAATCTTATCCATACGACTCCTTTCATCATGTGTTTTAGGACACATATCTTTTGAAAGGTAAATCCCATGCGACATGGTACATAATCCTCTTTTAGACTCTTGCATATTAAATCTTCTCAAGATTTTATCTATGTATGAAGATTAGGATAAGCCTAGTAATCCTTTATAACTATCTCTATAGATCTTGATTCCCAAGATATACGCTGCTTCTTCCATATCTTTCATGGAGAAATTTTTTGACAACCATAATTTTACTGATTGAAGCATTAGGATGTCGTTTCCCATTAATAATATATCATCAACATATAATATCAGGAATACGACCGCGCTCCCACTTGTCTTCTTATAAACACACGATTCATCTTCATTTTTGATAAAATTAAACATTTTGATTGTTTCATCAGAACGAAGATTCCAGCTCCTAGAGGCTTGCTTTAATCCATAAATGGATCGATTTAGCTTACATACTTTGTTGGCTCCTTTGGATTCAAAACCTTCAGGCTATGTCATGTACACCTCCTCTTGTAAGTTTCCATTAAGGAAAGCAGTTTTGACATCCATTTGCCATATCTTATAATCATGGTATGCAGCTGTTGCAAGCAAAATCCGGATGGACTTTAGCATGGCTACAGGCGAAAAGGTTTCATCAAAGTCAACACTTTATCTTTGTGTGTAACTCTTCGCTACTAGCCTTGCTTTGTATGTATGGACGTTTCCATTCACATCGACCTTTTTCTTGTAAACCCATTTACAACCTATCAGTTTTATCCCACCTGGAAGGTTGACCAAGGTCCAAACCTTGTTCTTATACATTGAGTTCATTTCGGATTCCATGGCATCTTGCCATCTCTTCGAGTCAACACTTGACTTTGCTTCTGCGTAATTTGTAGGTTCATCATCCTCGACTAATAATACTTGATTAGCAATCGTGAATTCGTACCTTCTGGGAGGTCGAATGATCCTACTTGATTTACGCTGAGCTGGAGTGTCCTCAGGGTTCTCTACATCCTGATCAAGAGTATGTCCATCAACAGGTGTAGGATCAGACTCAGGTTCATCTAATTGGTCAACAGTATCTGTGGATTCTTAAACTTCTTCAAGTTCTAATTTGCTCCCACTACCCTCTCCTAGAATAAACTCTTTCTCTAGGAATATGGCATGCCTTGAGATGAATACCTTCTTCTCAACGGGATTATAAAACTGATATCCAATTGTCTCTTTTGGATATCCCACAAATACACATTTGTCAGATTTAGCCTCAAGCTTATCTGATTCATTTCGCTTTACATAAGCATCACAGCCCCAAACTTTCATATGAGATAAGTTTGATCTTTTTCCTCTCCATAGCTCGTATGGAGTTTTGTCGACCGATTTAGATGGGACACGATTAAGTGCTACGTAGCAATTAGTGCATGACCCCAAAATGATTTTGGAATGTTTGCATGACTCATCATAGATCGCACCATGTCTAACAAAGTGCGATTCCTTCGTTCAGATACACCATTATGTTGCGGTGTATATGGCGGAGTCCACTGCGAGAGAATCCCATTCTCTTTAAGATAATCTAAAAATTCTCCCTTTAAATATTCTCCACCTCGATCTGATCTCAACGTGAGTATACTTTTACCAGTTTGTTTCGCTATTTCAAGTTTGAATTCCTTGAACTTTTCAAGTGCTTCATGCTTGAATTTCATCAGATACACATAACGATATCTAGAATGATCATCAGTGAATGTGATGAAGTAAGAGAAATCACATCTGGCAGTTATTGACATGGGTCCACATACATCAGTATGTATTAGTCCCAGCAATTCTGTGATTCTTTCTCCTTTTCCAGTAAAAGAAAACTTGGTCATTTTGCCTAACAGGCACGACTCGCATTTGTCAAATGATTCAAAATCCTTTAACCCCAAGTATCCACTTTATGTAACTTGAAAATGTGTTTGTCGTTAATATGACCCAATCTGCAATGCCAGAGGTATGTATTATTTAGATTATCACTTTTATACCTTTTATTTTCTATATTCATAATAGACGACTCAGTATCAAGAATATAAATTCCATTTTGCAACACACCACAACCATAAAAGATCTCATCTTTATAAAAGGAACAACGATTGTTCTTAACATTAATTGAAAAACTATTCATGTCCAAACACGAAATAGAAATAATGTTTTTAGTAATGGCGGGAACAAAATAGCAATTTGCTAATTCTAATACTAGGCCTGAAGACAGTGGTAAGAAGTATGTCCCTACAGCTAATGCAATAACTCTTGCTCAATTTCCCACGCGCAGGTCAACTTCTCTTTTCTGCAATGGTCTACTTCTCTTTAGTCCCTGCATATTTATACAAATATGAAATCCTCATCCGGTATCTAATACCCAAGAAGCTAATAAAGTAGACATATTAACCTCGATAACAAAAATACCTGAAGTAGAAGTTTCAGAAGACTTCTTTCCCTTCAAGCTTGCGAGGTAAGCCTTGGAGTTCTTCTTCCAATGACCTTTCACTCCATAGTGATAGCATGGGTCATCAGATTTGGTATTGTCCTTGCCTGCTTTGATTGTTTTGTTATTGCCCTTAGCCTTTTTGGATGTTTTCTTAAAACTTCCTTTGATTTTCCTCTTAGTTCCCTTGGAGAAATGAATAGCTAAGACATGCCCAGTGCTAGCCTTGACATTGGGCTCCACAGTTTTAAGCATATTAAGCAACTCAGGGAGTGTGCATTCGATCTTATTCATATTAAAGTTCATAATGAACTGTGAATAACTATCTGG